AATAGATGAACCCTCCCTTCTCAAAAAGTTATCTTTTTTTTTTTTTTGCTATAAATCTAAAGTAAAGGTATTTTTATTATCAGTGGAATGTCATACCACGTATGCCCACAACAATGCACACTACAAAGAGAATATTAGGAGACAGATTGTTGTGTGACCTTATCTCACCTGTTAACAGTGGCACATATTTTTTGGGCATGTATGCATATGTGGAAATAGTACAAACATACATAGAAATAGTCAGATAAATCCTAGTAAGTAAGTCCATCTTAGCAGTAAGAGAGAAATAAGAAGTGTGATTTGGAAAGCATCGCTCTTTTCTGTATTGTAGTGTTTTGTTTCTTATGTTGAATTGTGAGCCAGAGGATTTTTGTTTTAGTCTTTTTGAACACTTTGTGTATCTGAAATATCCCAGGATTAAGAAAGACATTCCTATGGAAGTGGTCAAGAATCTTGCATGTAAAACAACAGAGATGTAAGATTAATTCTCAGTTCTCCTGTGGTTTAGAGACAGTTACTTGACAAAAGATCAATTTCTTCATCCTTGCAATATAACAGTGTTTATCTTATAAGGTAGCTTTCTAAATTGAACCGATACATTCACAGTGTTTTACACATTCTTGGCATGTTGTACTCAAGACATATTATGGATGTGTTTATACTTAATGTACTAGTTATCTCATATACTGATACACAACAGAATTGAACCTTAAATTTTTTTCCACCCACATGGTTGTGTCAGTGCCACTAAAACCTGAGAGTCCAATTCTTCATCTTGTTAAATGGAAAGAATCAGATGGCCTGACCAATCTGTATCAGAGGGTTCCCGGGATGACTATTCAATACAATAGTATAAAAACTCCTTTGAAAAGTCTGAAGTTATGAAGTTTTAAAACCATTCGTTAGGATTTCTGTTAGAATTCTACTGCTGTATCAGATGCTGTTAAATTCAGTGATCACAATGATCATAGTTTTTAGGATAGTGATTTAAAATTATACATTCTATTTTCTTTATCCCTTTTTCTCATAGGGAACAAGAGATAGGTAATATACAGAGAACTAAGGAGGGCTAAGAAAGTGTTGTGATAATGCACTAGAGATAAACAGTGGATAAAGGACAGATGGTAAAGGATTTTATAGATTTTATAGATTATGTTAAGAGTTTTGACCAAAAGACTCAATGAAAAAGTTTAAGCATAAAGTTATATGAGCAAATCTATTTAAAATACTATCCTGCTGTAATGGTTTTATAATGACCAGATTAGAAAATGTAAGAATGTAGGCAGGTGAACAAGTGAGGAAGGTTTTTAATTAGTCTAAGAAGTTTGGCAAACTGTGGGAGTAGAATAATGTTGGAGAAATATATACATTTTGGTGATTGAAAAATAAATGAGTGAATGTTTGATTTTGAATTTGGAAGAGGTATGTAGGGGCAAGTACTGCTTATATTGATTTTCTATCATATCTTTGAGTTTGAAAATATCTGCTTATTTATTTATTTATTTATTTATTTATTTGTTTATTTATTTATTTATTTCACTATGTATCCCTTCTGCAGCCCCCTCCCTCTTCTCCTTCCAGTCCCACCGACTCTCCTTCTTCTCTCCCTATGCCCTTTGCCTAGTCCTCTGATAGGAGGACCTCCTCCACTTCTATCTGACCCTAGCTTATCAGGACTCATCAAGGCTGGCTGCATTGTCTTTCTCTGTGGCCTGGCAAAGCTGCACCCCCCCCCACGGGGAGGTGAGTTCATGTCTGAGACAGCCCCTGTACCCCTTATTAGGGAACCACTTGGACACCGAGCAGCCAATGAGTTTCTTTTGAACAGGGGGTCTAGGTCCTCTCTTAATTTAAATGCCTTAACTATTTATTTTAAAAGTGACAGATTATTGAAAGAAAGGAATCACTTTACTGGAATAAAATACATGTATTTGGATGCAACAGCAAAGTCTTAGGAATATAATCCTACACATTAGAGAAAGATGTTCCCTCTGCTCTCACAGTACTTGTGAAATAGAACGCAGGTAAGCAAATAAATTATTAATATAAACAGAAATTAACAAAAGTTTGGATCAGTTTCTGGTGGCCGGCAAAATAAATTAACAAATTAACACCAAGATGGTGGCTTAAACAACAGAAATTTGTTCTCTTGCAGGCCATAAATTTGACATCAGTAATACTGTTCAAAATTAAGAGGTGTACCTCCAAGGGTTTCTAGAGGGGAATCCATTATTTACCAGTTTGTGGTGGGTGCTGGCATGCCTTGGTTATGGCATGTACCATGACAATATCTGCCTTCAGTGAAGAACGTGTTGCCTCCTCATGTATAGTTAAAGTCCCCTTGTCTTCTTTTTATAAGGATGCTGTGGTTACTTGTAGGGCCCTCCTGGATAACTGAGACTAGTTTAATCATCACAAACTCTATATATGCGAAGAACCTTTTAGTTTTGGGGGACTTGTTACTATATAAGTCAGTGTACATAATTTTCAGTTTGAGATTTCATATCTTCTCAGAGCTCATTTTGCTACCCACCATATATTCCACAGAGAAAATAATTGCAGTTATGATGTTATTTACTTGTTACCTTGATAATGAGAAGTATGAATGAGGGGGAGAGTGGGGGGGAGACATACTCAGAGATAGAGAGACAAAGACAGTCAGACAGACAGGCAGAAAGATAAACAAATGCAGAGGAGAGAGAGAGCGAGAGAGATCATAGATCCATAGAGTATAGAGCCTTGCAGGTGTCTAGATCTTTTTTTAGGCCAGTTTAATTAAATTTTTACTTTTTAATGTTAATTACAGTTTATTCGCTTTGTATCCCAGCTGTAACCCCTCCCTCTTCATCCCCTCCCAATCTTACCTTCCCTTCCTCATCTCCTCCCATGCCCTCTCCAAGTCCACTGTTAGGGGTGGTCGGTCCTCCTCCTCTTCTATCTGACCCTAGCTTATCAGTTCTCATCAGGACTGGCTACATGGTCCTCCTCTGTGGCCTGGCAAGGCTGCTCCCCCATCAGGGAATAAGAGGTCTCCAGCTTTTGCAGCAATGTGGATATTATGTTATAAATGGTCATAAGAAAGGGAGACTGATGAGGAAATATAGCTCTCTTTTGGGAATATGAAATTTGAGATGATTATAAGGCTTCCGAGTCAAGCTGTCAGGTAGGCAGCTGGGTTAAAGAGATTAGAAAAAATATGTATGTTCCAAAAATATAAATGAAGTGTAGCATGCAGAATTAAGGATAAATATATGAAGCTAAATGAAGGGTTAGGGATATTGTTCAGTCTCTGAAAAAGTGATTGCCATAAAACCATGAGGAACCAAGTTCATAACTCAGAACATAGAACACTGAATACAGTCACACACTTCTCTACAGCAAAGACAAAAGGATCCCTAGAGCTCACTCACCAGGCCACCTATCTAAACGGGTGAACGCTAGATTCAGTAGGAGGCCATGTCTTGAAAAACAAAGTAGAAAGTGATTAAGCAACATACCCAATGTCAACTTCTGACCTCCAAACCCTCATACACACATACTGCACTTATTTGTACACATACATACATGAACATTCTCAGAAACACGTACCTTCCCAAACACATACATACAAAGAAAGAAGGACAGACAGACAGATAGGCAGGTAGGCAGGCAGGCAGGCAAGGCAAGGCAAGGCAAGGCAAGGCAAGGCAAGAAAGTGGTGAAGAGTTCAAGGCAATCCCCTGAGGAATACTCAAAAGTTCAGAAAATAGGAAAGTGGGAGAAAGGAGGAGGGAAAAATAATGGAGAAAAGTCAATAGAAAAGGAAAATGTTCCAGGAGTTGAGAGAAGGGACTGAAACTGTTCTGCTCAGATTAAAAGAGAGACGACAGGAAGTGTTCCTTGTCTTTGGCAACATGGAGGTCACTACTGCCTCTAGCAAAAGAAGACTCTATAAAGATGGGACTGAAGCCAGGGTGCACTGTAGAGCTAATGACAAAGTCAGGAGGGAAACTACAAGCAAAGAGATGGAGACAAAACATAAGCCATCTTCTACGCATTTTCCTACAGACGGGGGGTGGGGGAGGAGATACAGAACCAGCAAGGGAAGCTACTGTAAATAGGAAATTCTGTGACACAGTGAACACATCTAAGTCAGCTCTCATGGTGATTCTGTGTGAATGAGGACAGGAGCATCAGAGGTTCCAGTAGCCGGTCTTCTTCTGCGTAGATTTTCACCCCGGTTTTAGACCTCTTCAAGGAAAGAGAGCTCTTTTAAAAGAACAGGGTTGTCATCCTTGCACAGAGGCCATGCTAATCTTCTCTGTATCTTTCTAATTTTAGTATATGTGCTGCCGAAGTAAGCAAACAAAGGACCATGCACGGAGAGGACCTAGAACACCTACTCAGAGGAAGCCCAGCTGCTCTGTTTCCAAGTGGCTCTCCTAGTAAGGGAAGCAGGGTCTGTCTCTGACATGAACTCAGTGGCTGGCTCCTTGATCACTGCCTCCCTGGGGGATGCAGCCTTGCCAGGCCACAGAGAAAGATGATGCAGCCAGCCCTGATGAGACCTGATAGGCTATGGTCAGATAGAAGGGGAGGAGGTCCTTCCCTATCAGAGAACTAGGGAAGGAACATAGGGGGAGAAGTGGGAGGGTGGGTGGCCTGAGAGAAGATGAGGGAGGGAGGTACAGACAAGATACAAAGTGAATAAATTGTAATAAACAAATAAACAAACAAACTGTTGTTCAAGCCTGCTTGAGAGACATGGCTGTACCTGCTGTCAGAGCATCCTTTTTCTGTTTGAGAAGTCTTCGTGTTAACTTGCAAATTAAGAGGGGCCATGCTTCATGTTTCATGCATGCTAAACAAAGGATTAAAAAAAAAAAAACAAACATATGAGAATAGGTAAAAAGGGGTTAGGGAGATGATTCAGTTTGGTAAAATGTTTGCCACATAAGCATGAGGACCTAAGTTCAGATCCACAGAACCCAAATTAAAAACAAAACAAACTGAGGGCAGCTGTGTAGTATAGGGATTAAGATAAGGCTGTAAAGCAATGGTTCTCAACCCTTCTAATGCTGTGACTCTTTAATACAGTTCTTCATGTTGTGGTGACCCCAACCATGGAATTACTTCATCGATACTTCATAAAGGTTATAAATTGTAATGTAAATATCTGATATTTAAGCTATCTAATGAGTGACCCTTGTGAAAGGGCCATTTAACCACCAACAGGGTTGTGACCTGAAGGTTGAGAAACTGCTATGAAGTATTGTTGAAAACTTTGGCCTCTAAGCTGAGTTTAAATTATTGTACTCTTCTGGCGTTCAACAGAGATATTATCAGGGTATGAATAAGTGCCCAGGGCTTATTAATTAAAAACGTATCCGATTATATTAGATATTATGAATAGAAGACACTGAGGAAGAAATATCATTGTGGTTTTTTTTTTGAAGAAATTATATGTTTGATGTCATATGTTTATATTCTAGGCAGTTGAGAAGTGGAAATTTGCTGATGGGAGGAGGCTGACAGAAGAGATGGGTCTCATCTTTGTTCTTCCCTTCCTGGCATTTACATTTTATAACCCTGTGATCAAAGGACAGAATGAAATTTGTAGGCATCAAACCCTGGCTTCCCAGTGTTTACCTTGAAAGTTCTAGGGAAGAAAGCTGGCAGTTTTCTCCCCATAAAGAGGAGCCATGTTTCCAAGAGATCTGTAAAAGTGAAGGTTAAGGAAATTTTTATTTTAACCAAAAATGAACAGAATCAAACCAAAGGCTGAGGTCCACATCACATTATCAAAAATCTTACCTGAAAAACAAAACAAAACATGACCTGATTTTGAAAGTTATAATAGGAAAGTGGAGCATAAGTTTATTGTTGCAGCCATAGGTCAAAATCGGGGCTTGATAATGATGTTCAGAAAACTGTGACATGGCAGAGCCCCAGGGGAACACGATTAGGACTTGCAGTTAAGAGACAGCTGCCCCATGGGGCCTTACTCTGACCCATGTGCACACTGAGGTGATTAGAAACCCTTGTAATCTTGGGTTGACTTAGCAACACAGCCACCCCTAGTGATTAAAAAAACAATAACCCCAAGGAGAGTACTAATTCCAAATTTAGCTCCAACCCTGGCCAACCTGGTCACAAGAGAATCACCATTTATGTTTTGGGTACAAATATTTCAAAGTATGCTTCTATCATGGGAAATTAAATGACAATTGTGGAGGAAGTCTCCTTATAACTTGCTTCTAAAATGGGTGAGAAATTCATCTTTCATCTAGACAGTATACATTTCTACCAACCTTATTTATAAAAGATTAGCATACAAAGAATTGGGGTGGCTCATTGCTGATTTTTAAGCCAAATTTAATTTTGTTGTCTCTCTTCCAGGACTCTCCCAACTCCCACCCCACCCAGTAGTCTCCTTTCTGCTTTTATACTGCATATGTCCTTTTGTCCCCACATCCCATCTCAACACCTTTTATCTTCTCCTGAGCTCCTGTCTAATTTCACAGCCTGTACCTACTCTTGCATACCATCATATTTGCATACATATAAGCACTAAAGCTAAATCCACATATGAGAGAGAAAATGTAATTTTTGCCTTTCTGTGTTTGAATCGCCTCACTTAGTGTAACACTTTCCACATCCATCAATCTTCCTGCAAATTTCATCACTTCAGTTTTCTTCGTAGCTGAGCATAATTTCACCAGGAATGTATTAATTTTCCTTTATTCTGTTGATGAATGTCTACGCTGGTCACATACTCTCGCCTTTGCAAACAGAGCAGCAATAAACATAAATGCGAAAGTATCTCTATAGTAGGGTTTCGAGGTTTTAGAGTATAATCCAAGGAGTAATATAACTGTAACCTCAAATAGTGTAAGTCTTCCCCAAGATGCCCTTGATTAGTTATCTTAACTGCTAAGATGAGCCAGGTTTAGAAGCATAGTTGACAATCAGGATACAGTGAAAGGAAAGGCTTTTCGTGGTTGAACCGCAACCTGAAATCTCAACTTGACTTTCTGATTCTGCACTGAAGGCCACAAACTCTGTTTGTAAGTAGAGGTATAACATAACTCGATATTTCATAAACTAGTAACACTGAAAGCCTGCAGTCTTTGTCCAACACTCCAAAGGAAAATTAGTCTTGCAGTCTGATTGTAGTTTTTAATTGTAGTCATGAAGCTGTATGCCATGAATTCAGGTCCCTGAGAGGCAGATTTTTCTCTCTGTCTCTAAAGTCTCTTCTCTCCTACTGAGTTCTGTGGCTCAGCTGGCATCTTTTTGGGAAGAGGGCAAGATGAGCAGAAAAGAGGAAGTAAGATGGCTGGAACATTGCCCTAATTGCTTGCCCTCAAGGGGTTCTTTGTTTGTTGGCTTTTCTCTCATTCCCAGAGAGAGCCCTGTGGAGTCTCATCAGACTCCAGTTTCAACTGTGGTTTCATCTAGAGAGTGACCTGTCAAAAGCCAGTGGAGTTAATGCAAGTGAAATGGAGCAGATGTTGGGAAATGCCAGTAAAGCAGAGGCTGTGCTTCATTACATGACCAGATTCTGACAGGGACAAGCCAGAAGGCCCAGAATATGATCTACCCTGGTGCCTTGGCAGCCAGAGCTTAGGCCATGAGGCAAGACACCAGAGTTCAGGGCAAATTGTGCTTCATTTGAGCCCCAAATGGACAACTAAATCATACTGAAATTTGAAATAGAAGAGATAAAACAAGGTCAGCTGCTCCACCAGCCAGAGGAGGGACTACTCCTTCCCTTCAAGATCATCTCTTATTATTCTAGATAAGGAATTATCTAGAGGACCCAAAGGATTCTAAGCCATGGATCATTGATTTCTAGCCCACAAGAGTGAAAATATCACTTAATATTCAGGAGCCAATTCCCTGAGTCAGTCTACCCTGGCTTCTATGTTCTTTGATGTATCTGGGAGATTGGAGGTGGGGCTGAGGGGAGAAGGTCGTTCTTCCTTGGCATATGTACCTTTCAAATATTAAATTTATAAATTTTGACTACTTTTTTTCAGGTTAAGACATTCAGGAATATTGCAATTTTTTTCTGAAGTTTAGAGGGAACACCAAACATAGAGGGAGTAGGGTGTCCCAAAACAACCATATAAGGGTGATCTGAACTGTCAACCCAAAACGAAATAACACAAGTCAGTCAAGAATACTAAGTAGGAAGTTTGTATGCTCACAGTTACAGGAACTTAGACTATAGTGCTGGCAGAACAAATCAATGCTGATGCAGTGAGGGGCTCGGGGGGCTTATGCTCACAATTGAATTGACCATCTTTTCAGTCAATATATAAAGGCAGAATGATTTCAATTATTTCTTTTTCTCACGATGGTGTAAGAACTGAAAGAGAAAAAAATCATCTCCTAATGGTTATTTGATTGACACAACTCCTAACAACTCACTTTTCAGGGGGTAGGGGGAGAATTGTGGGGTGGAAAGAGTGCCTAGAGGAATTAACTCAGCTGACCAGACCTCCAAGAAATTCTGCATGTAAATTATGTTTTGTCTTATAAGCTTGAAAATAACCTGATTTGTTAAGACCCAAGGTTACTGAAACCTGAAATACTATCTTGTTCATTTTAGTGCTTGGCAGTGCAGCTAGTATGTGGCTTGCCAATGTATAAACACTGGAAAGTGGGGCTCACTGAGACTAGATGTACTGTTCTTCTGCCTGAAGAATTTGTCAACCACACCCACACACCCACTTCCCTATTCCTAGCATTCTTATTGGGGTGGTTCATTCTAATCTTGCCCATACTGGTAGCTATCACTTCTTGAAGTCTCACCTTACCTTGACTCCCATTGCTTTGGTTGCTAGGTTCCCAGATGAGAACACCCTCTCACCTTCCTTGTTAAGGCATACCACTGACTTGACAGTTTCCCCTCCAGCACCCTGCAGTTGAGCTTAAGAATGCAGTTCCGAGAGGTCACACACCTACTATAAAGAGTGGCCCAATGAATGTTCAGTATCAGAATGACTACTTGCATGAGGAAGTAATCATAAAGATGGGTGTCATGATATACTTTGGCCGTTTTTCGGCAGTGAGAATGTTCTCATCTGCATCCCCCTGGGAGGTTTCATCTGAGTGATTTGCAAGAAAGAGGTGCTATCATCATGGTGTTTAATGGACCATCTTCTACCATTTGGGCTGTGACTTCACATGAGTGGCTGGGCAGGTTATAACACACTATAGCCTTCCCACTGTGGCTCTTTCATTTCAATCCAATTGACCAATGTGTATTGACTTTTCCAAGTGCACATTCACTGCTGCTCTTGGCTTAACAGAAACTCTTCACAACCAGCTCTGTGATTGGTTTTCTCCTGTCTGCA